AAGCCAATCTCCCTGTTGTGGTTTCTTGCCTATTCTCTGCTCTACCCTGCATTTCAGAGGGCTCTCCAACTGAGGTTGCTTTTGCTGAAGAAAGTTTCCCCTTTCTTTTGCTTTCCAAAGAGTATGCAAACTGATCCACAAGGCAGTATAGAGGCAGCTTTCCTCATACAGTATACACCACCAATGCAGTAAACTGTTAACAGTCTGTAAAAAGCAGACAGTTAAACCATTTCTCATATATTATGAAACTACGGTATTTGATTACTGGTATAATTTTGCTTGCAAAAGCTGACTTCGGATATTTGCAATAATAATCCATTACAGCACGTCTGTAGGTCTTGTATCCACTAATCCTCCTAAAATACCTATGAGATATGTAAAGATGGTTATGCTAATTTTAGCTGAAGATTAGGAGTAATTCTTCAATTCCTGTTTTTCATGCTAGACTTAGAATAGATATACTGTTATATTTAAAAAATTAAAATGACTATTTAACATTTAATAAATGCTTTCATTTATTGCGACTGTTATTAAGCAGAGTTTTAAAATACTTGTTCTAAGTTTCTGTTTCCTTTTTGTAGCCTTATGTTTTTACAGATCCACCTCCCGTAAGAGTCACTCACGGAAGGATTTTCTCAGAAGTTGTATGTTTTTTCCCCCATGTGACACATACTATGCGACTCTATAAAGTCCAGGGTAAGAATTGTGAAACCATGACTAGATTCTCACTGTTTATTTTCCATCACTGCAGCCTTGGACCCAACCTGTATTTCTAATGTTTAAATACACTTCTAAACTAGTAGAGCATACTTCTCCTTGAACTCTTCACAGGGTCTAAAGACAAAATGATCCCTGTCTGAGCCTCACTTAGCCAATTGCTAAGCCAAAGGCAAACTTAAACGCAACAGATTTATTGGAGGAATCTCACAGCATTGGGAAATCTTCTTACTGTATACATTACCTGGAGGGAGCTCCCCAAACTTCTTTACAGTTTTGGCAAAACCTTGCTTTTCCCACAGACTTACGTTGCTTTTGGTTGCCCTGTCAGACCAGGGAGCCTTGTGGCTTGACAGTTTGTTTCAGTAACTGACCACTGAGTGAATTTTAATTCTTTCTCTGCTTTCATTGGAATCTGTTGGTGACAGCATAATTTTTAAAAATCTTTTTATCAGAGACTTCCTATGTTTCATTAAATTCAAGAACATTATTTTTTAAAATAGCTGGAAAATCTATAGCTACGAACATATAGCGTGAAGCATATAGATCCATTTTTTGCAGACTGGGTCTGGAGAAGATGACGTCATCTTCTGATACTGGCAATTTTTCATTTAGCACTGTGGTGGAATAGTCATTGGTAAATGTTAACATTTTAACGTGCTAGTAATGCTGCAGGTGGAATTCCTTTTTTTAAAAAAAGGTGAGGAAACAGATACATCCTTGACATCCTTTTCGTTCAAGGCTTCAGGTGGTAACATCACAGCCCTATCTTCATTTTACATAAAAAGCAGCATAAATGAAGCAGCTGGCAAACGCTTTCAGCATTCTCCTGTTCAAAGGTTGAGAGTGGTTTAGAATTCAACAAAGTAAAGGTGGTCTTGAGAAAGCTGTGGCAACATGTTGCCAAACTGAATGGCTAACAAAATTTGAAAACAGGACATGTGTGTGTACGTATACACAGGTGTGTGTGCGCGCACACATCTATCATGTTTATATGAAAAAGTAATGTTAAATACTTAGACACCTTTGCAATAGTCAAATTCTTGGGTGTTTAAGTAAACTATCATGACAATGAATAAATAAAAAATAGGAAACTAGCTCAACAACAGAAATAAAGGTAATATAAAAATTTGCTGCATCAACAAATGATGCTTTCTTTTCCTCAGCGTTTTCAGGATTTCTGGAAAACCTCTATGATGCCAGAAGAAAGCTTAAATTAAAATCAACGAGCTTATGCACGTAGTTGTGTGAGATGTGCAACAAAAGCAAATTAACTATCATAATAACACCTAAGAGTTCTAGTTGGGATTATAGGTTCCTATTGTGTTAGATTCTGTGCAAAAAGCACAAGTAAAAGAATATTCTGTGATCAGGAAGTGTTAACTACTGAAGTTTAAGCTGGACAATGTCAGGTGGGTGCAGAAAATAAAAAGAAGCAAAACATGAATTTTCACAATCTACAGATTTGGCTTATCTTTCATATCGCTGTTATTAAAATAACTGCATTAGTATATTGATTTATAACTGTATATTAGCGAGGGCGTGTGTGATGTGGGAGTTCATGGATTGCATTAGGTGCTTGTAGAGCACAAATGCAGTTTGGGATTTTTCAGGAGTTTGTTAATAGCATTCTTGATTAGGAGGAAGGTGTGACTGTTCTCATGATAGTGGCATGAGTTAGAATTACATGAAAGGTTAGTACTCTAGAAGTCAGTATGTTTTGACCAAAAAACCCTGTAGAAATGAAATGTTCAGCCTGACTCCATTCTCAGTGCTAGCTTATTTTAAAATGCAGTTATTTAAAGAGATAATTGAATATGGGGGAAGAAAAAAGAGACTATTAACAATCCTAGAAAACCAAAAAACTTTTTGTAGCTTGAGGAAAGAAGGACAAACAAGAGGTTGTCTGTCTGTGTGCTTAGGCACCTCAGAATTTTAGGTGAATATTTTCTTTTGTCCGTGTGGATAACATTCCAGTGTTCAAGAGCTCAAATTGTCATGAGCGTGCTTTTGGGTCTTGTGTGCTAAGATACACTGAGCTGTTGTGAAAGTTAAGTCACAGCTAACATTTAGCTAACATAAAGTAGCCAACGTTTTTAAAACTGTCTTCAAATTTTAAAGGACTAAGACAGTTGATCGGTCCCTCTCAGTCACTCAACTTCTACCACCCTATGTTTGCAATCTATCAGACAAGCACAGTATAGTTTCATTACTACAAAGAGAAAATTTCATGTCTTTGTTCTAAATGGCACATTTTTTTGACAGTCGTTAGTCCCATTAGACTGCAGAAGGGGTACAGGTGATCATAGTGAATGAAAGTTTATTTCCAATTCAGGCTGTGTCTCAGAATATCTGAAAGGGCGCCATTATTAAAGGTATGCAATTTTCAACAGCAAGCACTGTTGAAAAATCTCACGGATATCTGTTTTCATCTTCAGATACTTAATATTTTTTTCATGAAAATGGGCATCTGTTCCCTGTTAACGAAGACTTGTTTCCTGGTTGTGCTCCTGTCAGTGTGTAGTTTCTTAATTCACTGTCCTTAAGGAAGATTCTCTCTGTTTTAGTTATAACAGCTCACCAGTTTGCTGCTTAGAACAGTTGCTGTGTCAGAGGCAGGTAACTTCAATGTTACCTGTGAACAGCAAAAGCAGCACAAGGGAAGCAGTGAATGCCAGAATCTGTTCCAAGATATTATTAGCTATTGCTAAAGATAGCACTTAAAAGTGATGTGGTGTTTCTTACTGATTTATGGGAACCCACACTGGTTCCTATCATGAATATTTTGAATTATTTTAATTCTACTTCTTATCTGCATCAATGAAGGTTTCCGAATGACTGTCGAATGAGTACTGAATTAGAAGCACTATATCATATAGTACATGACTGTACCAGCTTCAACTATCTGGGTAGATATAACAGGAGAAGAAAGCTAGGGGGGCAAACTAGATCACTGTATGCTGGAATCACGGTTGTTTTTATATATGTGGTGGTAATTTTTAAAAATTAAGAGATTTTTAAATGCTGCTTTTTCTGCAGGTTTGGAAGGCCAGTCTCTTGAGGTTTCCAATATCGTGGATATTAGAGGAGAATATAATCGTGAACTTGCAATGAGAATTTCTTCTGACGTAAACAGTCAAAATAGATTCTATACTGATCTTAACGGATATCAGGTAATTATTATCCTAATTATAAAGGCCTAGGGTCTCAGTTTTCAACTATCTTAATACGTATAAGGAATTTTTTTCTTCTTCTAAGGGATCTACAAAGTATGTTAAACATTCCTCTATATCCCTTTTAACACAGGAATTGCAATACAGCAAGCTATCGGAAGCCATCATGCAGTTGTGTGTATGCCTGCATGACCTTTTTCCCCTTTGTCTTGTCTATTTGGTTTGAGCCCGTTGAGTAGTCTAACTCTAGTCACGTGTATAATGCTGAACAGCTAACAGCTTAGACCTAGAAGACATCTACTTGCTGCTCTGATAGAAATAAGAAAATGATGTCATTTTGTTTTTTGGAGGGTAATAAGGTATTTATAATGCATGTGATGAAGTGGAGTTACAACTATTTTTCCTAACTTTGGATCTGCAGCATGGACAAAAGTAAGAATTTTTTTCATTACTTAGAAATAATATTGCAAATGCATTTAAAACAATACCTATTGAGTAAGGGATGGAATTTTTGCCAATTATCTTAGCATAGTACTTTGTTTTGCTAAAGACAATAAAGTGAACATTTAAACATGGAAATAATTGTAATACTATTACTCGTTTTTATGTATTGTTCAAGAATTCCACCAGCACGTTAATTTAAAGTTCCCATTATAAACCAAGGAATTCCTTCCTACTACCTTGAATACATTCACAGCTTGCTCTCTGGAGGAGAAAACACTTTCTCTCATTCTACAACTGTAATTATTCTTTTTTTGCAGGTTCCCTTGATGAATCTTTCAGTTTTTAAAAAATGTTCTTTGATCTAGAAGTACGTTGAAATTATCATTTCCAAAGTGGTAGTTTTAGCCACAAATCTCTAAAAAGCTAAATAATACAGTTGAGTGAAGGCTTTGGTGCCAGTTGTCAATCACTGCCTCTATTGCACATGGGATAAATGTCTGAAAAGGTCTTTGAAATTTAAATGCATAAAAAGAATGTATTTTATTGAAGTTCATGTTCATAACGTAGATTCAACCTAGACTGACGATGAGCAAATTGCCTCTTCAAGCAAATATCTATCCTATGACTACAATGGCTTATATCCAAGATGTTGGCATTCGTTTGACACTTCATTCAGCTCAGTCTCTAGGTGTTGCAAGCTTGAAAAATGGTAAGTATATGACGATAGATATTATGAAGTCCTATCTTTCATGATTTTATGAAAAATGTAGTTCATTCACAAGTTACTATACCATGTGGTATTTAAAGAAAAGAAATATGCTTCTTCAACTCTGACAAGTTTTAGAATAGGGAGGAGCTTGCATTTTTTTTACACACACAAGTTCCCTTAATCTTTATTGGGAGATTTGTCTCAAATCAGCAGACTGGTAGGAAAGAAGTTCTGAAGAAGACAAAATGAATGATAAATTGTCATAACCCGGTAGTATTCACCCAAGAATACTGATGGAACTCAAAGATGAAACAGCAGAACTGGATGATTCAGAGTCTTTTGTACCGGTTTGGTAGGAGAGGGCTGAATATGGATAATGTGATGCTGATTGTGTGTATATGGTTTTCTCAAATTTATTTTCTTTAATTTTTATTTGCTTGGTTATTAAGGTAGAGGGGAATGGACTTGGAAACTACAGAATGTGTAGCCTAATATCCCTATCAAGCAAACTAATAGCAGCTATTTGAAAGAGCAAAATTAACGAGCTAGAGGATAAATATGACCCTGGGTAAGAGTCTGAAGTGGATTCATGCCTCACAAACTCATTGGGGTTCTTTGAAAAAGCTGATGAATACATTGACAAGAAAAATCTAGTTGGCATCAAGAATGCCAAAAGGGACTCAGCCCAGTCCCTTGTAGCAGAGAAGGATATTCCTCAGAATGGCTAAGAGAGGTTGAACCAGAGGTCAGCTGCTCACTGTCTATTCCACTGCCAGAACAAGGAGACATCAAATGAAGCTTGTAAATGACAGACAAAATAAAGCATGTAATGCATAATTTAAGATGTGTAAGTCCTTGTTGTAGGACGTTGTTAGTTTAAAATTACATGAATTTGAAAAGCAACTGAATGAATGCTGAGAATTAAAAAAGCCTATCAGAATCTATGCCAAAACCCAGTTTCTTTTCAGGAAACTTTCTTGTTTAATGTCTATTCTGGCAGAAGGTGAATATCATCATGGATTGACGGCAGTATTATCAAGCCTAATTCATTTTAGGGCAAAGAGTCTTTATAGTTTGCTTTTTCTTGGAATTAAAACAAGGCAGTTTGAAAACTATCAGAATGGTAAATCTTTATTCAAAAATTCAAACTTTCTATAGTAATCCTGCCTCTTCAGGGAGGGAGGGAGGGAACTTTCCTACCCGTTTGCCCTGTATGATTCAGATTTTCACATCAGAAGCCCATCTGTTGTCCTGTGAATCATGACCATTTTGCATTCCAGGACCTACTGTTTTAACCTTAGAATGATACTGAGGATCCTCATAAAGATCCTGGCCTTCATCACCAAGAAAGGAGTGACGATTTGCCTGCTCATGGATCATTGAAGGAGAAGGGAAACTTATCAGGCAAAAGCTCTGAATGCTCTGAGACTTATTCTGAGCTACCTTGACTCCTGAAACTCAGAAGAGTGGAATAGAAATCCTGTCATCGATGCATAGGAACCCACAGTAGCAGTCTGACACGTTTTTGTACTAGAGCGTGCCTGACAACTTTTCAGATGTTGGTAGAACTCTTGGGAAAATTTAATTTGTATCTAATGATTACTCAAGTAAGAATAAGCTTCACTGTTCTTCAACACCTTATTGACCCCAGGTGTGATAGCTACACATGTGGTACATGCAGATGTTATTCTCTATACTTACCAAACTGCTACCTGACAACCCTAAGAAAAGCAGATTTTTGTTTCCTATTGCATTCAAACTTCTATCATTGTGACTTGTGCCAGCCAAGTAAGAAAACTATAGCTATTTTTAAGAGCATTTGCATTATCAAACTGAGTGACTGTACTATTGTTTTACAGGTCTTGCATGTTATTTAAAAACAGGATTTTGTGATGATAAAAACTGTAAAGATTTGAGCCAAAGCCTAACCTATGCTAAAATACTCTAAGAAAATGCCATTTTTTTCCAATACAGAAAATTAAACCTAAAAGCTTCAGTAACTTAAAATAGTGTTACAGTTGGGAATTACTTTTTAATCATCCACTATCAAATTCTATGCTATACAACCCTGTTTTTCTGAGTGGATCAGTTCTAAGTTATTCCAAGGATTTCAATTAGTGATATAGCTATTTACAGGGAAAAAAGTCTTGAGCAGTGTTTACTTATACAATACACTACTACTTCTATTGAGCTGTAGACCTGCCTTGGAAAGCTGCCCTATGCTTGGATGGGTTAATCTGCCTGTGTACTAAAACGATTATACCTCTTAGGTAACTGTATCCTTTTTGTCATAGAGCAGCGATGATATTGCTGAATATCTCTGAATATCTTCAGGACGTACATTCTTTCAGGCTGACTTGATGTATTTTGTCATAGAGTGCAGTATCATATTGTTCCTATGGCCCTTTGACAAAGAGCTGTGAGCAACAGCGAAGGGAATGCAGAACACTTGCATTTGTAACCCCCTAACTACACTGAGTCATGCTGCATTTGCTGCATCCTGTAACCCCCTAACTACACTGAGTCATGAAGTGGCTAGTTTGCCACATCAGCCTGTTCTTTATATCAGTCAATATATGTACGCTGCCATGTGTGTTTCAGGAAAGAGTTCTCTGTTAATCATACTAGAAAAAGAAATACATCCAGCCAGGCCTAGTTACTCAGTGTGGCTTTCTTGTACCTTCCCTCCTGCTGTAGAAGGGAGGGACATGTTGAGTTGCAGATTTAGTTAACTCTAGCATATAAACTGATACTTTAGGAAAATAGCTACCTTTTGTTCTAACACAACCCAATAATAAGACTTAAAGCATGTTTCCCCATGCTTTCTATTACTGGAAACCAAATTCCCTTTGGCCTGAGCTTGTGAATGAACTTAACACCACCTAATCTTTACAGACACTAGTTAAATAGGTAATGGAGACTAATTAGTGTGCGGAGGCTCAGTTACCTTGTAATAGTGTCTCTATTTGTTCTTTAACAATTCTAGTCTCTGCATCGCAGAATGACATAACATCTAAGTCCACAGAGAGGCTGCTTCTTTTTGAGTCAGGGACGTACAGCTGATGCTATTTGAAATACTGCAGATAAGTACTGTGGAAAAACTGACTTTCTGTGAGCACGGTTTCAAACCAGTCAGGAGCATTAGTGGTTTTTCTCCTAACCCAATTACATCAGAGAGCATAAAGTGTATCCCATGTCTATTAACGGCATTATTTTCTGACTATGTCACTCTTTGGCAAATGCTGTTGCATCACTCCAGGCTCAAGAGGTAGTTAGCAACATCAAATATTTAAAATTAAAAAAAAAAAAAAAAAGAGAGAGAAAGAGAATGTATTCCTCTAGCTCCTTATCTTTAGGTAACATTTTATGAAAACATTGGGTTTGCTACATTTGTCTTGAGGGCTGGACTCCTTAATAAAGAACTAAAATGAAACTGAAAGTTCTGAGGCTACTGAAAACTGCACTCTTTTCAGCCTGCCTTGTGAAGATCCTTCAGTATCTCGAAAGGATCAAAGCAGATTGACCCATATCTCAAGACATAACCTGCTGTCTGAGGTTTATCAGGACAGATGGTTGTTTCTTAGCTGTCGTTCTTGATTGGACTCAGATTCTCCCTATGAGGAGTCAGTTACCCTTCATGCTGTCAGATGATTTCAGCAGTATGGAGTAGGGTTTCTCAGTATTTCATCAGTGTCTTCAGTATCAGCTTCTAAGATTACTTAATCAAGAACTATAAAATACATATGCTACATCTCTCCTTCTTTCATTCCTTTTTTCCTGTCCCTCTCCCCATTTCCAGGATATGATGTATAAACTTTTTTAATGCTAGGTGCTGGGCTTCCTTCACCTTAGGAGTTCCACCTGGTTCTGCACTAGTTCACTTGGCAGTGGATTATTCTCCATGCTGCTGGAAAGGCAATCTCTGCACAGGTGGTCTCTGCAGAGCAGTCCAGAAAGGCAGTGCTACAATTTATTCTAAACTAAGAATTTCTTACTTAATATTTGTCTGGTGCAAAGTTCTTTACTTCTCCCACAAATGAAGATACCCTCACAGAAGGAGTGATTGTTGGTATTTATTTTTCATATTGCCTACTTACTCTTCATTCTGATGCATTCTTTTAAAAAAAAAAAAAAAAAAAAAAAGCACATTGAGAAAAGAATGTGTTTGGGAGGTACACACTTCTTGCATAGGATAAAGACAGTTCCCCTACAGGTCTCTCCATACAGATGCAGCTATTCAGGGTGTTTCTCCACTTGAACACTTGATGCACCAAGTCTCCCTGTTATAAATAATAGTTAACAGTAATAACTTTTCATGCTAAGTTTCAATTTCCAGATTCTTAAAATTTTGCAGGAATAAAATTTGATGAAAGACTGGATGAAAGGATGAAGAATATATGAAAATTTTGGGAGGTTATAAACAACCAAAACCCAAAGGCTTTAACTATTTTCATAATGTGCCCTAACAATATTGATCTAATATTGATCTTTCGTATGTAAGAGAGAAATTAGGATCCTTTACATGTAAAGGATCCTAATTTCTCTCTTACATACGAAAGATCAATATTAGATCAATATTAACATAGTCTTATTACCAGTATAATCCTTGTATTGCTTTTTCAGGTCAGTTGGAAGTGATCATGGATCGCCGACTTATGCAGGATGACAACCGTGGCCTTGGACAAGGTGTCCAAGATAACAAGATTACAGCTAATATCTTCCGACTTCTGCTGGAAAGAAGACATGGAACAGATGTGGTAAGAATGATTGTCTGGACTTCTATGGCTAATTAATTATATGATATAAGTTGGTCTTTTGCAGCAGCAGCGAACTTAAAGTTATTCCATGAGCAGTAGAACCGGAGGAAACTGAGCTTCCTAAGGAGTTTTGTCAGATCTCTTGTATTGCCTCACCATAATAACTTCCTATTCCCGTATACCTACAGTCTCTACTTTCTTACCCCTTTCTTCCTCCCATATCTGTCACCTGGTGGTATGCATTATATATGTTTTGGAGATTATGCATATGCTCATTGCATAACTAGCAGGTCAAACAAAACAAGTAACTTGAACTCACGTTGTGTCACATTACTGGAGTATTATTTGGAAGTCTCTTCTTCAGCCATGGTGTGTTTGTGGTGTGGTATATTTTTGTTTTTGTTTTTATTAACTTCTAAGAAATTGCTGACTAGTGAGAAATCTGCTTCAGGTCAATCAAAGTTGACTGAAACTGGGCAAAGGTTGAAAAGTGTTTGAGATCAATAGAGAGAACAAGAAAACAACATGATCCTATAAACTTTATTTTCTTAGGAAATGAGATTTAAATGGAAATATTTAGATGCCAGACATAATCTGATTTCATTATCAATCAGGGAAGATTGAGATTATTTTGTTGTAAGGACATGTTTTGCACAGTTTATCTTGATTCGTCTTTTTACATTTTAATCTTTTGAATAACTCTTTCGTCTTCCCTCTGTTCTTTGCTTTTTCCCCTTTCCTTTTCTCCTATCTTTGTGGAGAAGGGCAAAATGAGGAGTACATCTTCATACTGGTGCAGTAGAATCATGATGACAGCACTGAGTAGATTTTAAAATCGTCACACAGCTAAAGATGAGAGGTTGTATACTGAGCTGCTAATGAATATGCAGATAAATTGGAATTAATTCTGTTTTATAATGGATATCATTAACCACTGGTGAGAGGATGATAATATCAGGCTTAAAGCTAATTTTCACTATTTAATGATTGGCAGGGTTTTTTTTTTTTCTTAAGGTTGTATATGTCATTATGATTTTTCTAGTTTCTCATCTTATGTAGTAGCATCAGCCATATATTAACTGCAGTTATCAGCATGGTGTGGAAATAGCTGAACTAACTTGAAACAAGCTAGCTTGAATCCTGGAAGCAGTGTAGCTGTGACAGCTGTGACCATTGCACAGGTTAATCTACCTCGGCAAGAAGAGACCTGCAGAGAGACTTGCGCTGCCATGACAGACTCCTTTTCGTACTAAGGATCGTTTGTATTGTATTAAATTAGCATGTGGAGCTGCTAAATTAGAACTATTGGATATGGAAGGCTATGTTTGCATTAGAAAATAATTTGGAACAACAGGAGCAGATAAACGAGTTAGTTACATGGTGCTTGCATCTATACTGGGTGCAGTTTGGATATTTTCCATAGAAAAATCATAAGATAATTTAGACTAGAAAGTACCTCTTGAGGTCCTCTCCCTCCTAGTCCAATCTCTGCTCAAAGCAGGTCTGTTTTTATGTCAGAATATACTTAAAACTCTCCAAAGGATCAGTTGTTGATTCAGACCCTAATGGAGATGTGAAAGTTCAGAACATGTTTGGTGCTGACGTGCAGGGGAGCTTCTGGGTTAATTTATTCCAAAAGAAAACTAGTCCATACACACTTGAAACTGCTCTGCAATCTGAAAGAGTGCTTGATAAGTGGGTTTGACCAAAAGTTTAATTTCGGAAAACCAAAACAGTAATGTGGAAAGTAATTTGAGGCTACTTCTGTAAAAACAAAGGCAGACTAAGCCACTGCTCTGGGGATTATCTGGTTAGTGAAATATTTTTCATATGTGTGTGTGTATATATATATGTGTGTATGTATGTATATGTATATATGTGTGTATATACATACACACACACACATATATATATGTATTTATTTATTTATTTATTTATTTATGAGCTTGTTTGGAGATCTCATTCAGCCATCATCTCTGTAGTTGCCTTTTCTTATTAAAAACCTCTTCCCCTCCTTCATTTTTTGACATATTCTGTGCAAGTTGCAGAGACTCTTTCGAAGGCAATGGCATGCTCGGTGTTAACTGGTAGGGTCAGAAGTCTTTGAGGTTTTTTGTCTAACTGTATTCCAGCATCTTCTCTCCTTCCCCCGACCCATGCTGAGCTTGTAAGGGTTTTAAATGTCTGCAGAGTCAGCCAGAGAGTGAAGCTGGTGCTCATACGCTCTTGTAGAGACTTGAAAAGAAGGAGGATCGGTGCTGGGAGGGAAGCAGGTGCAATCAAATAAGTGCTGTTGGCCCAAATACTTTGCCCTCTAGCGTAGTATGCACATCCCCCAGGAGCTAAGCACTTCAGATGTGTTAAGATGTGTTATCTTTCTGGTGCTACATGGGGAATTCCACTTTGCTATATTCTCAGTGTTCCAGCACTACATTTTTCAGAATGCTTTTATCTGAATATCAGTAACACTTCTTGATCCATGTAACAATTTGAGATGCATTAAAATAAGGAAGAGTAGTACTCACCTTTTCTCTCTGTTTGTTAAATGTACAAATATATATTTCATTGCATTCTTACTCAGAAGGTAGTTGTTACAGTAGTTTAATAGCCCTGTCAGAAGATTTGCGAAGAAATTATATGCAGTTTAAATCTGTAATGGGCTGCAGAGTGATTCATACACTGACCTTAATTTTGTTGTAAAGACCTATTTTGTAATTGACTTAAGGAGCCGTGGAAATTACAGGAGAGAGTTTTGATTGCTTTAACTGCATCTTTGCCAGCACCAACTTTTTCTGTGGTGCATTCTAAAATATTTTATTCTGTCTCCTCTCAAACTTTTTTGGAGGACAGGATTCTTCTGCTCTTTGGGAAAATTCCCTGTAAAAGGTGAGACTGTAAAGTCTAGGATATGCAATTCTTCAAGAGTGAATTAAAATAAGTGTGCATCACTTGGGAGTAATTCCTGTGAGTTTTTTGGTTATGGCAATGTCCATCAAAAATTTATTTTCATTTACATCTCTGAAATGACTTTTTTCTTTCCCAACCTCCCCACCTCTGCCCTGAACAGTATATTTTTAATGACAGAGTCAAGCCACATGCATGTGTTTTGCATATGATTGTCCCATCCAGTGGGAAGGCAGAGTTTGTCATAATCACTAGCATGTTCAGGTAGCCTATAGTCTACTAAGTCCCTCATCCTTATGTTTCCTGTTTGTTGGGTCTTGAATTTTAGTTGCATCTGGCCAATAATAACCATTCATGCTGATTTTACCTCTGTGCATATGGCTTCGGGTTGATTTGCTTTGCAGTTTTTTGTTTTTTGTAACCCTAAACTGAATGCTACAAAAGGTGAATTCACTTGACAGTATTGTTCCTTTAATATATTTTTCTAACTGAGCTATATACATGGTAAGAGCTGAGCAAATCTCATTTCATATTAGGGTATACTCATCTGATTAATTGTTATCTGTATCCCTCAGACCTTTGTTGATATTTTTGCTATGTTTTGATACAATTTCTGTCTACATATTTTTCTCCTGCTACTGGACATTACTAGTTCTGATTATATGTTCATCTTTATCCTTGCAAGCATTAATTGGTTTTGCATATCTCTTGGTTTCTCTCCTAATATCCATTCCTTTTTTTCCCCCTCAGATTGGTGAGCAAGAACTCTGATGTGCTTCCTTTTTAAATCAAAGGGATTATTGTTCAGCTGAAAATGAAACCGAGTGCAATTATCAGTGCTTGTTTGTCAAAATAGTAAACACTCCTTTATTTTTGAAAATATAGAATCTTTATTTTACCAGAATCTTTATTTTTTAAAAAAAATTTTCCATCAGTGGCATAGCTGAAAAAAAGATACTATTCCATGCACCCTCTTTTTTTCCTCAGGTTTCTGTTTCATACCTTGTCTTGACTTGTTCAATTCATATAAGAGGATTTATAGCCCAGCTGCAAGCAAAGGGCCAGTATTCACTGGCTCAGATAGCTTCTGTGGTTTACAGGGAAAAGAGTGCATTTAGAGAAAAGATGATACAGGCAGCTACTGAAGTTACAAATATGTGGAAAAGACTATTCTTTTCTTCTTATTAAATATTTATCAGTAAGCACATTCTCTGAAACTGTATACCTGATGATGTAGCCATTACTGTCTGATGATTGAATTGCATTTGCCACCTGTGGTGTGTATTTTTATAATGTATATGTATATTCCGGGTAGTAGTAATGTATGTTTGCTAAGGTATAGTAAAAATCAGCTGCTAATTAACTTGATATCTAAAAGAAGCAGAAACACATCATTTACTTAACCACTTCCAGCTAGAAGCGTTTTCAAGCCCATATGTGACAACCTCCGGTATTATAATGGTCGCATTTTAGTTATGACTACCATAGTGAAATCTTCAAATGCATACAAAATCTTGAACTTTAAAGTTTTGAGGTTTTTTGGGTGACCACAAAATAAGAAATTTGCACCCTTCCCCCCTCTTCTCTCCCACAAATACAACGCAATATCTGTAGAGACCTGCCACAAAAATTTCGTAAGGAATATATACCTACTGTTTGTATTTCGTTTGAAGAGAGATTCAGGTGTGTGTTAGTTCTTTGCAGCTTTACTTAAAAACTGTAGCTAAATTATTAATATTGCTACTGCTACCTAGATGAACTGTATTTCTTATATTGGAAGTTTGTCTGGTGCTTGAGAACTCCTTCACACTGTTGCCATGTCTCATTTATCTACCAGTGTACCTATTCTCAGGGCAACACCTTCCTCATTTTTATGCCAGTGTACCTTACAGCTTAATTTTTTCAAATAGTGTTTTTCTCTGGTGATATGATAAAGATGTGTTGCTGAATGGTTCTAATTAAAGACAAATTTATTTCCAAGCTCCAGTCACATGATACTGGTCAAAGTTGAAAGGAGCAAATATCCTTATTCTGTGACAGGGCAGCGGCCACTTGTTATAGATGGCTCATGGTGAAATAAGTAGTAAAGAGGACTG